GGTCCAATATCAAAACTCACAGCATCAACTCCAAAGCCAAAATTCACGTGAAAAAACCGACATGCACGTGAGAAATAGTGGGGGTCTAGTTGGGTGGAAGAAGAAAAAGTATAGGAGGATGGCGTTTTGCACTAAAAACGCAGTTCAGTTGATGTAGTACGAAAATCGCTTTGCTAGGGAAGATGGCCAAACTCCAAGTGACTCACAAAATTTGAAAAGCCCCTTCAAGAAATCTGAAATTTTATGGTGTTGTAGTGGAAACAGTCCAGCGAACAGCAGTTTTATCGCCTCTCCAAAATCTGAAGGAAATTCGGACTTCTTTGCCCAAAACCTGAGATTCTTCTCAGATTTTCTCTTGGTTTGGTAGAGGTTGTAAGCTCCAAAATTAGAGGACAAATTCAGCTTTTGTTTCGCCCAAAAACTGCATCAATTCCTTTACAGGAAGTCTGAAATATCTCAGATTTTCCTCTCAGAAATCTGAGAGAAAATCTTGCTCTCGGTGTAGGAATTACAAAGCTCCGGTGACCATTTGGTTGTTTGAGACGAAGTAGACAGCCACCACGAGCTTTCTAGATGCAGAATTGCTTAGGAAAGCTTGGACAGCTGCTGTAGACCGATGGGATCTTCTGAACAACAGTTTGTGATCTCCCAGGGTGCAGAACAACCCGTCACCTTGCTGGAAAAGTGGATAGCTAGCAGGAATTTGATTGGAAAGGAATGGGGCCGTGAGGGAGGGTTTTGGAGGGACGAAGCTTGTCCAGATACATGGGAAAGAGACGGATAGCTGAAGGAATGATTTGGAAATGTTTCCAAGTGGGGAGGGGGAGGTTTAGGAAATAAATTCAAAGAAGATCAAAGGGAGAGCCAGCTGCTACGGAGGGAGAGAATTAGATTTCAAATAAGTGGACCCCAATTACTTAAGTGAATTAATCCTTAAATCTGAAATTAAATTTCAGATTTACAGCTGCGATTAATTCCTTAATTAAAGGGAGGAAATTTAGGGGGCATTTAACTCCTAATGCAAATTTGAAATTTGAATTTGAAATTCAAATGACATGCAATTAAATCCCTTAATGAACATTAAAGGAGGTGACTTAAAGCTCTTTGATTCGAATTTAGGAGTTATGAAAGTGAAACAATAAATCAAATTTTGAATTTAATTTCAAAATTGATTTTAATTAAGCACTTTCCAAAAATAGATGAACCAAATTAGGAAAGAATTTGAAATTTGAATTTGATTAAGTTCAAATTCAAATTAATCCCTAAATTAACCCAACCAAATTAGGAAATCCGAAAGGGGGTGGAGAGGAAGGTTCGGCCGGCGGCTAATGGGGTGGAGCCGGCGGCATGGGTTCGGGTCTAGGGGTGAATCCGGTGGCCAAACGAAGATGGGGAGGAGGAAGACGATGGAAAAACAATTAAGTAAGAGATAAAACAAAAACAAAGATTGAAACAAACGATAAAGATAAAATAAAAACCACGAGCCTCGGACTCTTCCGAAGACTGACGGGTGATCCAATTGCCCTTCTCCAAGGGACTTCAAATCACGAGCCCGGACCCATCCTGCGGCTGGTGACAACTTCGATTCCTCTCATAGGAATCTCACTCTCATTCTGGTCGGAAGATGAAGGAGCACCGTTGGAAACAAGGGGAAGAGGAAGATGGAGGAGCCGGCGGGATTTCCACGGGAGAAGGGTGGCAGGCGGGTGTAAGGTGGGAGCAAGGTTTGAAAACAAATTGGGTTTAGTTGGCTTCTAGTGGGGAATTAATCAAAATTTGAATTAATTTCAGTTTTGATTAAGCTTTGAGGGAAAATTGACTTGAATTTGAAATTTCGAATCAAGCAATTAAGACATTAATTGGGGATTAATGAGGGGAGCCAATGAAAGGGGGTCCGGCGGCTTATAGAGGGAGGGAGAGGGTTTAAAGTTAAAACTGAAATTTGATTTCAGTTTTAAATAATTTAAGAGGGAAAATTATTTGGAGTCAATTTCTAAATCAAGCGTAATCAATGCCTTAATGGGGCATTAAATGGGCTCCACCCAAGATGTGGCCGACGGCTTCTAGAGGGGGGGAATTGGTGTGGGAGCAAGTAAATGGTTCCAAATTTGGTGCATGAGGTTTAAGCAGGCTTAAGACAAAATCCATTTGAATTTGAATTTCATCATGCTTTGGAATTTAAAACTTTCCTAATTTGGAAATTCCAAAATTGGAAGGTTTTTGAAATTCAAATTTGAATTTCAAAATTCCATAACTCCCTTCTTTAATACACAACCTAAATCATGGGGGGGTCATTATGATGAAAGAATTCATCATGATGACTAGGATCAAGAAAGGTGGCCGGCAGCCAAGGGGAGGGGGAAAATCTTGCCGACGGTTTGGGGGGGCCTTGGTGAAGCTTGGAGATGAAGTGGAGGGAAACTAGTGGGTGTAAAGATGTGATGAATAAGGGGAGAGATATGTAGATGTCGGTTAGGGAGGGAGGGGTTGGCGGGTTAGGGAGGCAACGAAGAGTAGGATGAAGGGAATGAAGGGGTAGACCACGAGTCACGGACTCTTCCAATGATTGGCGGGTATTGCGCTTGCCCTCACCTTGGGCTCTCTTTCTCCTCTCTAGTGCACACACAAGGTGAAGAAGAAGAAGACAAAACACAAATTTTCATTCAAAATCCATTAGCTATTACAAGAGAAAAGACCCATATATATAGGTCTCAAGCATACAAGAAGAAATAAAGACTAAATTGCCCTCAGGGCCCCAACATGACTCAACTCAACATAAGGGTACAATAGGAAGACATAAAAATAAAATGCATAAACAACTAGAAATATAAGTTCTGAATCGTGGCCATCGATCTGCGATGCTTCCGGCGATACACATGTTTAAACCTTGGATCGATGTCCTCATCACTTGTCCTATTCTTAAATAAATCTCATCTGGTGATTACTTCGAATCGACAATAGATGGTCTTCTGTTTTATCAGTTCGAACAAAAAATTCCTACTTAAATGATCTCATCATCCAAGTGAATTTCAACATAGTGACTATTAGGAATAATTCAGACAACTACTTGCGGTATGATGCCAATGAACGCTGTGGCTGCCTTAGGATTCTCTAAAATAATAGCTGCAGGTAATGATCTTCCAGGATCTCTTGAGTTAAAAGTAGGGGCTTATCAGCTAAGATGAAACCAAGGGCCTCCTCTTCCGTTGAACAGTCAACTTCAACGTCAAAGGTTTTCAGATTGGCATAGTTGCTAGTGGAACTATTGTGGCATCAAGTTCTTCTGCCACCATACAAGACAATAATAGAATCGTTGACAGTAGGAGTGGGGCAGTTTTCTAGGCCCCCGCCACCAAAGCTTTAGAGATTTATTTATTTATTTATTAATTACCAAAGCTTTAGTGATGTTCACAAAAGAAGTGGCCTCTATTATGGAAACCCTAGGTAGAGTACATTGGAGCAGCCATTTGAGAAGACTTATAATTTATTTCTTCTAACACAAGGCCTCAAACAGTGACTCGTTTTTTTTTTCCTTCCATTTTGACATAGCAATGATCAAGGAACAATAAGGGCTCGAGAAAGATAAAGGTTATTTGGAAGATTAAGTTTCAAAATGATCATTTAAAATCCCATTCAAGGTTAAATAGACTTTGAAATGGGCGGGAACTGATGAAAGTCAATCCATCTTCTATATTTGATGAAAAGATAACTTGATATGCCAACACCCAAGACATTTACGAAGACATTAATGGGGAGCCGACCATTTGACATCAAGAATTTTCATTCCTAGCTCTATATAAACGGCGAAAAGAAACGCTTAGTCATTAAGAATGTAATGGTTTGTCGTACAACAATCACTTGTTATTAATGTGCCTTTCTGAGATCCTATAAAAGGTGAATTTATATGAATTAGATGTGACCTTTTTCTCTTTTAACCAAGTTCAACGTTGTTTTAGCTGGAATCTGGCTATACTACTTTACCTCCCATATGATCTGTAATAACCCAGACTCTGTAATTCTCCTCCATTAATGAATCTTTTTTCACTTTTTAACAACTTTCAACTAAGTATTTATGTGGAACCTTTTCAGTTGATCATCTTCTCCTTTATTTCCCACCTAATCTATAATAATAATCTAAATTGATCCGACCACTATAAGTTGTTGTAACAACATTGGAATTGTTTCTATGATTCTCTTTTAATTTTGCTCCATCACGTTTATTAAGTCTCTCGATTGTCTTAATAATTTCTGCCCTACAAATGGTTGATTTTTTTTACTTCCGCATATCTCATTCCTACTTATATTTGCTTTTCCTGTTAGAATTTATATGCCTATTTAAGTGACTTTCAATAATTATTCTCGCTTTGTCAAGTTTATGTTGTAATAGCTAATTCATCTCTTCCCAAAATAAAAGCACAGGCACTAACCAACTTGAGAACCATAGATGCATACTATATTCATAATATCTTCATGATACTTAAATTGCTAGCAATCAGGCTATTACTAGCTCTATTCATTTTAAGAATTTTATCTTTCATCAATTTATCAATTCATAGAGCTAATCGTACTTCTCAAATCAAAATAAACAAATAACTAAAATAAAGTATTTAGCCCAAGTTAGTGTTGGCTTTATTTGAAGCCAAGTATGAAGAATTTTATTTATTCAAGCATTTTGTAAATAAAAATGATCTCACTTGGATAATCAATCTTGATACATTTGGGATAAATCTAAGTTTTGATTTACCATCTATAGGTGATTGAATTAAATAATATAGAAGGATTAATATCGTTTCAAGAAAACATTCTGACACGAAATTAAAACCATCTTCTTAATAAAATCATTACTGTGATGAATCAAAATGCTAGATGCAACAATTAAATTGAAACTTAGGAGGAAAAGCAATTATTTATATATCATTAACTCTTTCAACATATAGAAGGCTCATCATATTAGAACTTGGATATATTCTCATTCTTCTCTGTTGCATCCCATCTTACAGGTCTGCTGCATCTGCCTGGCCAGGTATGTGGAGAATGATGAGCTACGCGAGCTTCCTTGCACCCACTTTTTCCATTCAGAGTGCGTAGACAAGTGGCTCAAGATCAATGCACTGTGCCCCCTCTGCAAGTATGTTGTTATAGATTCTGGTGGTGGCTTTTCTTCTGTTCTAAGCTCCCTCCGCCACACCACTAATCAGAGGGTAGTAGGCCGTTCAGTTTCTGCAGAAAATATAGTTTAGATCAATATTCAATAGAGAGGATCTACCAAAGGCTAACGACCATGATTGCTATTGCTTGCTTGTTTATATGTATAGTAGTAATTCTAGCCTTCTATTAACATCAAATTCTCTTATTCGTTTGATGCTTTTAGTTTTCTGGAACAACAAACATTTGGTTTGGTGGGGCTTCGTTTCGGAGAGCTTTCTTACTGCTTTATAAAACGATTTTTTAATACAAAACTTTCTAATTCAAGAAATTTTTATGCTAGAAAGCTGTTTAAGAAAGTAGCGAAAAAGCTGTCCCAAACAAAATCTTAGGCTTCGTTTGGTACGTTTTTTTTACTACTTAAACTAAAAAAAATTGTACTAAAAAATTGCTTCAGAAAAGTAAGAAAGCCGTCCCAAACGAAGCTTTAGTTTCATGCTTTTGTGTTTATCTTCAATAAAAGTAGCGGAGGATCGATTTATTAGTAAAGCATGCTTCAGGAGGATTCAATGCTTCTGTGAACTTCTATATTTATATTTATGAAATGTTCCTTTATTTTATTTTATTGTAACATATCAAGAATGAATTTGTATTAAAATATATTTTAATTTAATTAAAATTTTATATTCTTATTATATGCTATGGCTTTTTTTTTTTTTCTATGTTTAGCTCTCATTTTCTGCTTGCTGCCATTATTCTTATTTCTTATATGCCTAATTCGGATTGTATTGTAGTACTACAAAATAATATTAAGTCAGTCAAATCATTTCCTTATTTGATTCTAAAATTTTTAATAGAGCAAATTTTTAAAAGGATCATGATTGATACTTAAATTAGGAGGATTATCTAAAAAATAAAATTTAAAAAGGATCATACACCTAATCAGAAATAAAATTTTAATATGTAAAGTTAACTAAAAATTATGTTTTAAAATAAATAATAGTTATAATATTAAAAAAATTTTACTTTGCATATAAAACGTAATTTTGAAATGAGACTTTAATGAAAAATATATATATATATATATATATTTATGATTTAGATTTCCTTGAGAGTGTCACAATAGTCGGATAAATTTGTATATTTTCGATGCTATTTTGGTATTAATTTAATAGAAAAAATGATTTTTTTTTTGTTTTTTGTTTTATAGAAAAAATGAACTTATTATGAGTTGTTGGGACTAAATGTTAAATTTGTAGAAACCAATGAGTGTACTCTTTTTGGTATTATTTTTGCTTGGTTATTATTATAGGTAAATATAATTGTATGAAACAGTAATAAATGTCATTTGCTATTGCCATCTCTTCTGACCCCTCATCAAAGAAATGCGCTAAGCATTCTCTCAATCATGTACTGCCCTCCATAATCATTTGTTTAAAAGGGATTTTGGGAGTCCTATACGTTCCTTCCCTCTATTGACTGCTGCCCTCCATAATCGTTTGCTTAGAAGGATGGAGGATGTCCTCTATTTATAGAAGCATTAAAGAAGATTATATTAATTATAATATGTTGTCAACACAAACTGATCTGATAAGACATGATTTGGCAAATCAAATGATGTGATAATACATAGTGATGTTACAATACAAAAGTTGATTTTTACAAGATATACTGATGGGACAACATATGTATATTTACATGTACGTATGATTTCATAATATAAATTTCGCTTTAAAAAAAAAAACAAGATCAGCCAAAATTGCTCATTTGACGGGCGATTTTGGGCTTGTATATTAATCGTCCGTCAAATGGGCGATTATGCTTACTTTTAAAATTTGAAAAAATGATGCTTAATTTCCTAAATTTTACTTCTTCTAATCATACTTAGTCCTAAGAAATTTTTAATATTAAACCAAAACACGTGCGAAACCATTTACTCAACACGTGCACCCACTCGCCTTGCGCCAGATCCAATCACAAGGTACCCAGCCGCCCACGTGGGTGGCTCAACTAATGGACCCCACACTTGCCGCCATCCCAGCTGGCCTTTGTCAAAGCCAGAGAGAAAATAAATATGCATATTATCGTCATCTTCTCCTTAAAAAAATTATAAAATCATAATAATAATTTAATTCCATGCGATGCTAATACGTCAGAAAAAAATTCAGCATAAATTTGATAGTATGGCTTCTGAATTGATTTTTATCAAGAGAAAAATTATTATATATTTGATATATTGATTGGGCACGCATCTCAAGACAATCAAGTGGGAAGCTTTTAAAATTAAATAAGGGATCATCCAACCTCCGATTTAGCAAATTTATAGTCGAACTGAAACAAACAACACCAAATTAGACTTAATTCGAGTTCATATAGGACCAAATCGAAGACCCAAAGTGCATTTAGAAGGTTTAAACTATAAATTAGATGGTCAAATGGTTTCCAAACGTGACATGCTTATAGTCGAATCGAGTGGCTCGACGAGAAGAATCCAACGAGCCCAATCTTGTTGAATTCTGACATCATTAAAACACTCAAATACTAAATAAGCAAATTATGATCAAAGGAGTTGATATCGGCCATCTATTCAAACCACTCACAACATATCTTTGATCTCACTCCTATTTTCTAGTCATGCAACTCTCAGAAAATTATAAATTGATCTCTCATTCCTCATGAAAAGAGACCAAGTAAAGAAAAGAAGGAAGAATGAGAAACTAGTTCTCTTGCCATCAGACTCCTCAATCACCGTTAGACCACCGACCGTCATTGACTAACGTCGGATTTCTGCCCAGCCATCGACTGATGCCGAACTTCTGCCCAGCCCCTGACTACCACTAGACTTACTCCCAACCATTGATTATCCTCGGATTCCCAACCTCCCTGAGAACAGACTCCAGACAACAGTTTCTAACCACCGTCACCAAACTATGGTCCTTCCGACCTTCGTCACCAGACAACAGTCTTTCTAACCACTGTCGCTCGCCGACTACGATCCTTTTGACCTTTGTCGCCAGATTACGGTCCTTCTGACATCTATTATCATATAATGGTCTTTCTGACCTCTGTCACCCACCGTGTACGGTCCTTTCGACCACCATCACCCGACTACGACCTTTCCGGCCTCCATTGCATGCTAACTATGATCCTGCCGACCAAACAAGCATGTCAATACTAATTTGTTTAATTCCTACCATGTAATGAGCTCTGTATGATTTCCTACATCAAGCCAAGGCCTCCCCCCAAGGAAGTTTCTAAAGTAGCTCTGTTTTTATAAAAGCAACATCATACTATAAAAACTTCTTGAAAGCACCATAATAATATAACAAAAAGATAGTACCCAAATAGAAATGTTGTTGCAGTCTGAAAAGTAAACAATGAGAAAGTTTTATTCAACAGATCTTTAGTGCAGTTAGAATCACCACAATAAGATAATTATTCTGATTATAAGTTTATTAAATTTTGAAGCCAATTTAATCCTTAAGCTAATTATTTTTAGCGGTTCTTGAGTCATCATTCAAGCATTTTAAGTGATATGTACCCTAAAATCATCTTGATCATGCACAAATATTGATGCATATCTGATTTAGAAACTTCCAAAATTAAATTATGGGCATCCAAAATCCAATTTCAGCATTCTTATAGTCGATCAAACTGAACATCTAGAAGAGACGGACCAAACGACACTAAAATTTGTCCAAATCAAAGGGCCAAAACATATTTGAAAAGTTTAAAGTATAAATTGGATGATCAAATGATATCTAAATATGACATGCTTATAATCAAATTGAGTGGCTCGACGAGACAAATCCAACGAGCCCAATATCACTTAATTCTATAACTTCATTAAGGGACATCAATGCTTGAAAATGCTCTATGATCAATGGATTGATATGAACCGTCTGATGGAGCACTCTGAACTTGCCATCGATCTTCTCCATATTTATAGGATATGTCACTCAAAAAAAATTATAAACAAATTTCTATTATATATAGAGGAGCTTTGGCTGAAGATTAGAGAGAACTCTAACCCTTCAAAAATCCTAAAGTTCTACTCAAGCACTACCTCCGACGAACTCCTATGGACCATCGCTAGTTTATCGACCGCCGCCAAACTGCTGCCTGTTCGTTGACCATCACCTGACCACGACCTAATTGTCGACCATAGTCGGACCACCACTATTTTTCCAACAGCTACCAGACCTCCACCTGACCTCTTACCATTGTAGAACCTCTGCTCAGCAGCTAATAATGGTCCCCCTAATCAACATCATCCATTGACTATATATGATCCCTACGAGCATTGTCGCTCGTCGACTATGATCCCTCCAGCCATAACCGCTCGACAATGGTCCATCTGACTTCCATTGCCCATCTACCATGATCCTTCCGACCACCATTGCCCTTGCCCGACTATGGTCCTTTATGCCTCTATCGCCCTCAAACTACAATCCTTTCGACCACCGTCATCATTCTTTCCCGATCTCCATGGCTCGCCGACCACGATCCTTCTAACCTCTGTCGTCGGCTTATTACGGTCCCTCCAACCATCATCACCTGCCGATTATGCTCCCACCGTCCACCGTCGCCCACCAATTACGATCTATCCGACTATCATCTCTCGACTACGGTCCTACCAATCAAATGAATAGTCCAACACCATCTTAATAACAAATTGCATATATATCACTAGATTCTTTCAACTCCCATCTTGCAATGTGCTATATACAATGTATATTTGCTACATCGAGCCAAGGCCTTCACCCCAATAAAGGGCCTTATTTGTAATCAACAATAAATACTAGTGGATTCATTTCAATTAAGCAATACCATATGATTTTTCCTCTTTTTAGGGTTTTCCACATAAAACTTATAGTGTCTCACATCCTGGCCTCTCTCTTTCTTTGTATTCATGTTGGATCTTTGTTCAAAACTAAGACAACAAATTCTTTATCTCTCTACTAGCCCGCAACATTAAGTACTATAATTCTTTATTTTATTTAAGCTGATACTCTTTTAAAGTAGTAGATCAATCACATTTTTTTTTGTTCTTATAATTTTATTTGGATCCCACTTTGATCCCTATAATTCCAATTTTTACAAATAAATTAAACTCATTAATTGCAGTAACATCTCAAACCCCAATCAGTTAAAGAAAAACAATACCATTTTTCATCACCTCAATAATATACCTTTTTTTCATATTTGAATATTTTTGGGACAACTTATACTTTTTAAAAGCTAATTTTTTATAATAATTTGAAATGTGACCGTTTTTACATATAAAATTTAAAAAATAATCTGTAAAAGCTATCATCCAAGCACATGTTATTCTTTATTGACTGTTTTTCCTAACTTAAAAGCTGTCAAAAAATTATCCCAAACAGTGCTAAAGTTTTCCATCATGAAATTTCTTTTCCCTTATCCCATCACCCCAATGTCCCATTAAATAATATATAGAATTTGATAGCACTAGTCATAAAAATTATAGTAAAATTCCGATAAAATATTTATGAGGACTAAGTAAAATATTATTCAAACAAATACATTTGAATCATTGTGGGGACAAAGATTTTTGTCTAGATTCCAATCAAATAAAAACTCTTAAATTTTTTTCTCTTTTGTATATACCCTATGAATAATATGAGGGATTAATTATTACGTGTTGAGATCGTGTTGAGATCGGACACAAAAAATTATTCAGTTTTATCATTGTGAATATTAAAAGCACAGTAAAATTTCTTTTTAATGTTCACAAGTAGGTGTGTCAATTTCGGGCCACAGGTCGGGTTCGGGTCGGACCCTGAGCGGTCGCGGGGCGGGTGTCGTCGCGCGGGGCCGGGCCTGACAACAGCGGGCTCCTGTCCACAGCAACGCAGTTCGCCGCACTGGGCTGCTCGCGCCATTTTTAACGCTGTAGCGGCGTGCGTCCCCACAGCCCGTAGGCGGCTTGGTCCGGCGGGTTACGCCAACCCGTCGGGTCAACCCAAACTCGACCCGTTTTTTCAAACGGGTCATTTTTGGAACTCGAACCGATCGGTTTTGAATCGAGTCGGGTCCAACCCGGATTTTTCGGGTCAGGTCGGTTCTCGTATCGTGTCAAATATTGACACCCCAGTTCACAAGACAAATCAAAACACGTTCTCTATATCCGACCTCCTACGTAATAATTTTTTAAAATAATAAAGAAAAATTCATGTATTCATATAATAAAAATTTAAACGTGAACACCCCACGCAATAATTTTTGCATGAGTTGACAGAGTTTCTTATGTAAGCTGTAATCGTTTTGTGTTCACACTTACGTTGAATTTGTGATGAACTCTGACTGACATTAACTGCGAAATTAAAATAATATTATATATATAATATATTTTACTTTCAAAGAAAAAAATTTGATCACATGGCACAAATGGACAGAGAGGTGTCCACATACAGTGTTCGTTAACAATACGTAATGCAAACTGGTTTTAACTAATTTGGATGAGCGTATCCTCATCAAAATTTATAAGAACGAATATTAAATATTTTTCATTTACTCTAAGAAAAAATTTGATTGTTATATTTAGCGTCAAAATATTAAGCAATTTCGACTTCTCTTCTTAAATGGATTTGAAGCGACAAATACAATAAATTATTATTTACGATCTTCAGCTTAAAACGCAAACAAAACAACGAATTGATTGTATCCTATCGAACAAAACAATAAAAGATGAATCTTTTGCTGTATATTTATACGATTCATGGCCTGGAAGAGTTGCCGCTGAATCCTTTGGTGATGCTACGAATGGCTGGATTGTACTGAATAAAGCCGAAGAAGCCCTGTCTTTGATAAGCCAATGGCGTCTTCTTTCTAAGCTCGTCCGCCGTCGCTCTGTTCGACGTATAATGCATCTCATGGGCGGAAGCCACCTGCCGCCGGCCACCTCTCCTCGCCGGAGTACCATTGCTTTCTTCTCTTCCTCCTTTCTTACTGCTTGCTGGTGATGAAGAGGAAGAGCAATTCGAAGAGAAGAAGGAAGGAAGCAGAGAATAATTACGCAACGGATCTCTGCTTTCTCTGCCGGTGGCTCTCCCCTCCGACACGCTTCGGAACAGAAGCAAATCCCTAATCCGCCATTTCCTTCTTCCACTGTCGCTCTTCGGGAGGACATTTGAAGCTTCAGTTTTGTTGTGATCTCGTAATGGGGAAAGCGATCTGGAAACTCTTGCTCTGTTTTCGGAGCTAGTTGGAAAGGAACTTCTTTTCCTGCCCCTTTCAACTGGGAGAAGAGGAGGATGGAGGGGCCGGATTCTTCCGTTGTCGAAAAGTTCGTCGGCGGTGGAGATTTCCGGCAACGGGTTAACGACTGAGAGGCGGCCGGAGTCGAAGGCGAAGTCGTTGTCGTTATCGTAGTTGAAGAAGCTGGAGAAGATGGAGGCGGCTCGGGTAGGGCTGGTGGGAGCGCTGGTGTAATGGAAGTCGTAGAAGGGCTCGCCGAAAAGGCGAGGACTTGATGGAGCGGTGGTGGAGATGGTGAAGTGGAAGTCCGGCGAAGTCGGCCTCGGTGACATGGCTACTTCCATTGCAGCAGCTTGTTGGTTCTTTAAGTTGGTTGAGATGATGAGGGGAGGAGAGTTATATAGGGAGATATGGAAGGAAGGTGGGTGGAAGCTTAGTGAATGAGAAGATAGACCAGTTAGAGAGATTTAAAGGGAAGAAATATTTGTCGGCCTTCGCTTTTACATTGGTTATATATATAGAATTTAGGAAGAAGCAGATGGCTTTCCATTACTTGCTATTGATGCATTTGTTCCACGTGTGGTTGTTGGCCTTGTTGATTTTTTTTTTTTATTTCTCTTATCTATTCTAAGAATTTTTTTTTAAAAAATTAAGTTAATTGATAAAAAATAAAAAGAGAATACCGACAAATAAAAAAAATTGAAAAATATAGATAAATCAGTTACGATTTGGTCAAAATTGGGTTCCTCTGTCAACTCGAATTTGACCTGAGAACTAAAAGAGTTGAAATTTCAGACATGAACTCAACTCATTTGTTAAAAAGGTTAACCTGAACTCAGATATGTCCAGGTCAGTTAGAGGTTCGGCTTTCTTCTCCCCCATCCAGCAAACTCTAGCATCAAAGTTATAGTTTAGGGAGCATCCGAGAACAAATAATATACTTGTGCAAGGTTGCATGGCAAGGAAATAAAAAGAACAAGCAATGGCGAAAGCCGTAGGGTATTCCTTTTCTTGTTGAGCCCCGTAGTTTTTCACCTTCAAAAGAAGGCGCCAACACTTTAGTAGTGACCCCGGTCTTGGGTTGCTTTGGCATGCCCCACCCTAACGAGAGAGTTCTGCTTGTGTTGTACTTAACTTGACTCAGCTCATTCGCTTGTTGTTTGTTGATCATTGCATATTTCAGATTGAGTTATGTATTAACACTCCTAGCTCTTCAACATCATTTGAATCAATTTAAGAAAAAGATTAATAAGCCAATAATATCAACAGAAATAAAATAATACCAAATTATTCTGAAAAAAACATCTCATAATATCTTAATCAAATTTTATTCAAAATAAGTACAAAATTTTAATTTATTTTGAGAAAAACATTAAATAAAATAAATTTACTATTTTTTAGATTAATTCTAACCAAACTTTGACTAACATTATGAGATTTTTTTTATCTTAATAAAAAAGAAATTATGATCCAAATTTTTTTCATTAAAGGCAAAAGCTATTAGATTGTTTAAATTAGATTTATTTTGATATGACTGGATTACTCGAATAATTAATCAAACATTATATTACATTAATTTTAAAATAAATTTAAAATTTAAAATTTCATCATGATGAAATTTTAATCAGATATTCGAATCCAATTTTTCCTCCTAATAATTTTGCATCAATTTGAAAGATAAATAGATAAATAATTAAAAAGCTATATTTAAATCTTTTTTTCCCTTGAAAGAAAACTACAAATTAAATGTACTCATCTTCTTTCATCAAAATTCTTCTAATTTTAAGCTTTTACCTTCTCATCTCAACACAAATCTTAAAGAACTCACTGTTCCTTTGATAATAATAAATTTACAATTATATCCTTAGCGAGCTACAATATTGGAATGTCGATAAAGTGCAAAATTTGAATTGTTGATTTTTATTGGAAGAGGGGCAGTTCTAGAAGATGGTTGATTGCATCCATAAACAGAGAGAGAAGGTCTGCGAAGCGAAGGAAATTTGAAGGAAGCTGAGACGAAGAGAATGGATCCAACTTTTCCAGTTAATCTTCTTCTTTATTATGATTCACATATACGAACACGACGACACGAATACGGTATGAGATGGATATGAGACACGTCAATGGTTGAAAATATAGGATATGGATACGGGTTGGACACGGTATTATAATTTTTATGATGTAAAAAATAGTATATAAAAATTGAATAGGTATAATTTTAAAAATAATTTAGAAATAATAAGTCATTTAACTAGAATTTGTGCTTAAAATAATTAATATTCGGATGTCGAGAATCGGGCGTCGATGCCGTTTATCAGTCATCGAGAGAGGAGATGATAATGATGTTGAGAGTTGGGCAATAATGTTATGCAGTAAATGTTGGACGTCAATGTTAAGTGGGCATTTATCGTCGATGCTGAGAGTGCGTTGGTCGTCGATGTTTAGAAGACGTTGAATAAAGATTAGATGTCAATTTGTTAGTGTAGAAATTGCTAGCATTTGAGCATCAATGTAAAGACAACGTCAGATTTTGATATGTATTAAAAAGTTACTTTTTTTTTTTTTGGGACATTTAGGCCATTTAAGGCAAACTCACACACACAACGCATACACAGAGACTCGAACCTTAGACCTCTTAGTTTGAAGCCTTAGCTCTCAACCAATAGGCCAAGGAGAGTTGTGTTAAAAAGTTATTTCACAAAGCAGTAAAAAAGCTGTCCAAATCGATACTGAATTGGCAAACAATTTTACATAAAAAAATAATGAGCTTAGAAAAGTGCAAAATATTTATAAAGTGGTTTAGTTATGCGCACCTATAACCTCCCTCTTTAGAGCATCTCCAACCGAACGTCAAACGAGCGTATGGCGTCGTTTGGTCGCTCCAGCGGAACACCAAATTTTCCGCCATTTACTTGCGGGTGAACAGTGTGACACCAATATTGACGTTGCACTGTTCTCCTACGCTATTTTGCTCTCAACCGGAAAAACGCGCGAAAGAGAGAATGATCATTACCTTCGCAGAAGCATATAAAATGACTTTCGATTGGAACAACACCACCGCATTTTAGAGTTTTGCTGTATTTTGCCGTGAAAAATGAAGTTCTCCGTTGGAGATGCCCTTAAGCGCTAGTATTCCCTTTTGCTTCAACTTCAGTGCACGTCCATATTTTTAATGATAAATTTTTTTCATAAATAAATTAAATTCTTAAAATAAAGATTGTGGCCTCTAATACCCTTTTTACAATCTTATTTATTTGATTAATCAGGGCCTTCATTTTTAAGAGAAATTGGATCTATAAAATAATAAAATTGTATTCCTTCTCTCCCTCATATCATTTTGACCTCTTTCCATAGCACAATAGGTGGTGGTAATTAAGAGTTTTCAAACCTGGAAATTTTTGGGGATTTTTGGCACTAAGAAAATAGAATATTTTGCATAAACACTCAAAATAAATTTTGACATTTTTTTTTTAATTTAAAAAAAAAAGGATCTTCAGAGTTTTAAATTTTTTATAAAAGAACAAATAATACAAATTAAAAAATAGTAAAAGAAAAAAAATCAATAGGATGTTAATAGAATAATAAAAAAAAATAACATAATCTTATTTTATATCATTTTAAATTTTTTTAGACCCCAAAATCATGTTGAACATACTTTAGAATAACGTTTTTTATATATTTTTTTAGTTTTAAGAGAGCTATGAAGACCAACTTTTAAATAGATATATAAAGTGAATTTCTAGCAAAATTCTTGAAATTTTTTTTTTCTTAAAGTTGCAATTAATAATATTTGAAACTTTTGTATGTGAATTTACGATTGAATAAAACTAATTCGGTTTATCCTTAAAAGAATGTTCACATTAATATCTACGGAGAAGCCGGAACCACAACTGATTAGCCATTCAAAACTTCTGGAAGCGGGGGGACGACAACCATTCATTGTGAAAATAGAGCCTTTTAAGCCATGCAATGCCCCGTATTAATGGTTTCCGTGCCATTAAGGCTTCATTTTGGACGACTTTGTTTTCTAAAACAGATTTTAGTACAAAAATTTATTTTAAAAAATATTGTTCCAAAAAACTACTTCAAAAAGCAATAAAAAGGTTGTCCCAAATGAAGCATAGGTATCATTTATTGTGATTTTACAAGTAATATATTTTTTAAAACTCAAAAATATTTTAAGACTTGGCAATCTAATATTTAAAATAAGAGGCAACTATTGGATTATAATAATTTTTGTTTGAATAATCTTAATTTCAACATAAGGCATAAATCTCAAAGAGATTAAGAGAAATTGAAACAAAAAGCAATTTTATTTTAAAATTAAATTAAGAGCTAAATGAGCTCTAAATTATGTTAAATCATCATCCCCATTTTGAGAAATTTGATTGGTATCTCTGACCAGTTTGAGAAGGCTAGTGTTGACCTTTGTATTTGCCATGCGCCTTGTAGAGATATGAGATTTCCAAAATTTACTCATGAATAGGTCATGATCACATCTAAAAAGATCATATCATCATTAACAAGTTTCCCTTCTAACAAATGAATGGTGATGTGGACCTTAGGGTTGGATGGTGATGGTTCCTCATCACAATTGCCATTGATTTTTGATAGCATATAGGAGGGAAATACACTCCATCTAACAAATGAATGGTGATACTTTCTTCTAATTACTTACACATAATTATAATTGTTATTGATTTTCAATCCGGATCCGACCCGTCGGATTTCCGGATTGACCCGACCCGACCCGACCATCTTAATTCAGATCAGTCACCTCGGTTGAACTTATGACATTAAGATCTACAAGATGGTACATTCAATTAATTGATGAGAGTTGTTACCAATGATAATAATCCCCGAATTATTGACAACTATTGCTTGAACTAGTTAAGTGTTGCAGAGATGATGATGCTTAGGTGGATGAGTGGCTTTACCCTTAGAGATAGGATACAAAATGAGCATATACGTGAAAAGGTTGGAGTAGCTCTTGTGGAGGATAAGATGAGAGAAAGTCGCCTTAGATGGTTTGGTCATATTAAACGGAGGCTGTCTGATGACACGGTTAGAAAAGTTGAGATATTAGATTTGACTTATGTTAAGACAGGTAGATGTAGACCTAAAAAGACTTGGTTAGAAAATAATAGAAATGATCTTTCTTTATTAGATTTAAATGAGAATTTGACTTTCAACATGGCACAATGGCGAAAAAGGATTCATGTAACCGACCCCACAAGTGGTACAAAGGCTTGATGTTGTTGTTGTTGCAAATTTCTCATTATAGATTATTAAAAATTTGGGATTAATTTCATGCACAACTTTCTTTTAAATTATTTTTCTGTTCAAGATTCAATATGGTGAAGAGTAATTCTCATAGCAAAAAAAAAAAAGAAATGTTAATATATTGACTCTTCCACTTCAAAGCTTTTAATGCCCTTGCTGCAGCTTCCATAATGTTACCGAAACCCTAAGATCAATTTTATGACTCATTCTTACCAAACATGCCCTATCTTCAACTGGAAACATCAGGGTGTCAAAATCGGGTTTCAAGTCGGAAACGGGTTAAACCCCACATTGACCAGCTGTTGGTTGACCCAACCCGAACCCGACCCATTTTTGAAAACAGGTCAAAATATCAACATGGAACCCATTGGATTTTCGGGTCGACCCGACCCAACCAAACACAAAATGCCGAAACCGACAGGAAGGAACATCGTCGAAACTTGAAGGAGGCGAACTGTCATGACTTACGAGCCGATAGGTAGGAACGTTGTCAAAGGAGGCGAGCTCTCGCAACTTCCGAGCCAACATGAAGGAACGTCATTGAAGGAGGCGAGTTGTTCGCTTGTTCGTGACTTACCGAGCTGACAACCAAGGAACATCACCGAAGGAGGCGAGCTGTTCATGACTTCCGTACCGACAAGGAATGAATGTCCTCAAAAGAAGGTTGCTCACTCGCTCCGTCGTGGGTCACTGAGCGAGAACCGTAGGAGAAGAGGAAAAACAAACCCTAGACTTGCGGCACCTTGTGGGCCGAACTGCCAAATCGGGTTAGCAAGTTGATCTGAGTAAACTTTGGGTTGGCGGGTTGACCCGAACTTGACCTATTTTTTCAAACGGGTTGAATCCTAGAACCCAAACCCGACCCGTTTGCGAAACTGGTTAACAGTTACCTGGAATTTTTTGGTTGAATTCGAGTCGGGTCAAATATAGACACCCCTAAAAAAACAAACACTATAGATCACTTCACAGGCATTCTTAGCAACCATAAAAGCAGGAAAAAGAAACTTCGGAAAGAATTATGATTCTCAGGGTCAGAGGGTAAGAGGGTAAGTTCATGTTTTTCAGGTTTGAGAATCAAATTTCTTTCGAGTAAGGTGAAAATATCATCACCAAATTAAAAATCAGCAAGGCCATAGCCAGTTTAGAAGGCTCCTCTCTAAGTGTCCATACACTGACATAATCAGGGGAGAAATTATGTATCTACTCCTATTCCTACATAATAAATGATTGCTTTCAAGATTCGATACAAAAAATTGTAAGCCATGATTGAGACAATGACAATCTAACTAATTTTCCGAGCCATCCCTCTCTAAAATCCCTATAAACATAGCAAGACAATTTTGTACAAGTCCCTGAAGAATTCACAGAAACAACAAATAAATTCAATCTGCTCTATGGAAGCTTAGATCAAGTTCGTATTTATATGATTCTTATGGATTTTTTCATCTAGATTTACCTCAAATAGCTCATCATGATCTAATGGGAGTAACTATTAGGCTCACATAATTACTTAGGTAAAGAATAGCAGAAAATTCCATAATCAACATAAATTTTTGGGCAGGTAAATTAGGCTGTGGCGGTCGCAGAAATCATAAAAACGCAGAAGGAACCAAAAAGTTCATGAAATTGCAAAAGTAGATTTGAAGGAGAGAAATTACTAGTTACAAGACAGTCTACTTCATTTCATCAAAAGGCAATTTACATCAGGAGGAAAATTCAAAACCTGGAGAAACAGACCGTGGCAGTGACATCATCATTGGGGACTGAGGGTCTCTCTGGTGAAGAAACTATAAGAGTCACCTTCTGAAGCATCTGACAACTTTGACGTGCTCTCCTCTGGTCTATAAAATATGCGTTCAGAAAAATGATTTCCCCAAATGTCATAGGTGAAATCTTCCTGCATTGCATCGCTAACCTCCCCCTTTATTGTTTTTTCTTTACAAAGTTTTGTTCCCGGCGCACGGGCACAAGGAGCGATAGGAGACATGGAAGCCATGAAGCTCGAATCAGCCACAACAGGTGCGCGCAAACCGGGTCCCGGGAAGGTGGCACAAGACAACAAACTGGGCTTTCCAGGGAATTTGGTAGTTGCTGAAGGCAGACCTTGATCAGGTGAAGAAGACCATTTACTATCAGAACACTTAACACTTTCTGCCTTTCCTGCCAGATTAGAAACTTCAAAACCAGGCCTCTTTGAATTGTTGTGTTCTTTGGATTCTTGAGGACAAAGAGGAACAACAATAGTCTCGGGAGATTGCGACAGTATATGTTTAGGCGTGGAAATGTTGGGGGACAAGGGAGAGGAGGGTGTAGAATTCCCACTCTGACTACTTGAAAAATCGAGTTTTTGAGGTAGTCCTGCACCATTTGGCCTCCTCTTTCTTCTCCTCACCTTCTCTCTCACAACCCGGACAGTGAGATTACAATTTTGTGGCATTTCTAATGTCTGAGCAGTTTTAGCAACTTCTATATGGCTATTTCCTAACGGTGGAGAAAAACTGCCATTCTTTTGATGGTCTAAGCAATCCATAACCACCTTCTTTCTAGCAGTATCACGGTGATCAGTAGTGCAGTCAAGATAACCGTTGAAATAATTAGTAGCCACATATTTCTCATCGTCTCTCGAAGACCTGGAGATTTCTACTTCTGTTAATTTAAAAAGGAACTAGAAAGTTAAATGCTACAAGAAGATAGCATGTAAGGAATAAGCCATAACCTGGAAATTCTGGTGTTCTGTTGGGGGGGTGAAGAAGCTTCAGTCTTGCTTGGGGATCCCACAGTATTGCTAAACTTGAAAAAATAGTCATCATTTGATGGTGAAAAAGCCTGAGGGATGATTCGGAACATAAAATGAAGAATAATGAAAGAAGCAAAAAGAACCACTAGAAATAGTTTCCAATGAATTGATCTGAAGAGGGGCTTCCTACACATGTTGATCATGTAACCCGGAACTCTTGCTTTCATCGGTATCACTAAAATTCCTGTATCCATGGCAAGCTCAAAGTCTCTGCGAATAACAGAAGTGGAGAAGTCTGCTTGATATGAAATAAGAAGATTTGTTGATTCCCCAGGCGCAAGAGAAAACCCTTTACAATTGTGAATTGTAAAACCATCAGAACCGCAATCAGTTCCAGAAACTTTCAGTTTAATTATTTGGAGGGGAAGCTCACCTATATTCTTAACAAAGAGCTCTTTGGAGAATAGATTACTACAGAAAGAAGTGATTTTTTCTACAGGAACGAGAGTATCTGAGGCAGATACATTGAAAGTCATTAGAGAGTGAAGGTCAAAATCTAGTTTAAGAATGGGCACAGAGCCCTCAAGTACGACAATTGAATGAGAACCACCAAATGCTTGAAGTGGCAACCACTCCACACCTGAAAGATTATTCCTTATCAAAGCAGAGCTTCTCCACATGCACCGATTCGAAGGATGAAATATAACAGGGCCAAATAAAGCACTCCCTAGGGGGTGTACAAAAGCTTCTGTTAAAGCTGTTTCTGCTATTGAGAAACCAACTCCAATTTCTGCTGAAGTAAAATGAGAAAACGTTGTCAAGAATGTATGTTCTGAATGTTCATCAGTAGATTTGCAGTGATCAATGATTGTCCCAGAGTTCAGTACAAGTTGCATCACAACTGGTTTTTTACTCGGGTTGTGCACACTGATCCACTTGGAGTGATGATTTCCTATTTGGACCACTGGAAATAATAATTCTTGGTCTTCAAGCACAGACATCCTGTTCATGGTGGCTTGAGATTTCCAATTGTTGAGTAACAGATCATCAGCTTTAATTTCTTCTGAAGCCTTTGGCTGTAAAAATTAAAGAAAGATTCAACAAGATGACAGGAGTCACCTAATATTCATAGAAGATAGAAAATTAAGAGTAAATTCATATAATCTATCACTGCAACTGAGAACTTCAATTTTTTGGCAGGTCATTAAACTTAAGATTTGTTGATAGAATTTATGAAGATAGAGATCCTGAATGTGGGCGGAATGATATTCACTGCCCCCTAGTGTTGCTTTGGTCAGACAGGTCTTGCTCAACTACTAACTCGAGTGTCGAAGGCCTTTCGAAGGGGATGCAACCCCACATGAAGGAAATTACACTCCATCTGTGCAAGTTTTCACCATCTCTGAAGGGGTGTCCAATATTGTTGGGGGTGTCCAACACAAACAATATTAATCCCTTGGACTATAAGATGAGTCACATGGATTGAATAGTAATTTGTTGAGCAATATATGTTGCTCGCTTAAGGATACTCATATTTATCAATTGTGAACAATGTACCATGGTACAAAGGTCCCATGAAGTTATTATGCATAATATAACACTTGCTATTTTAAACATTGTGTGAAAGATAAAAAAATAGAATAATATGTTTAAAAATAATATAAGAAAAGAATATCCTTATGCAAAAAGGCGTCTTCAATGTTATATATATAGGATAGAACATTATTTAACATATAACAAATAAGTACACCAAGGGTCCATGCAAATTTATTAATGCCTTATAAATTTCATAATGGTAACATAGGAGTTTATTACTCTGTACAATTCAAGCAAAGACCAATGTGTTGCGAGAATAGATAGGTAAAGCAACAATGTAGGAAATAAGTTCAATCAACTTGAGATTGACATTATTAGGTAAAAATTATTGTCCTGAATAAATTAACTAAGACAATATCAATCATTTATCAAACATATTTAATTCACGGGATAAACTTTAAAAATCGCTCTTCATCAAGCTTCTCAGTTCACGCATTTAAGAGTTCATATTTAATAATGCATGATAAACTGGTAGTGGTGTTGGGGATGAGGAGCAAAAGAACGCAGAGAAACAAACAAGAAAGTAAAAACAAATGTAAGTAAAAGGACAACAGGATTTAATGTGAAAAACTCAACATAGGAAAAAAAAAAAAACACAGAGCCACACCACACCAAAAAATCCAAAACATCGATTCTCCTGTTGATACACATTTCTATCTTCAAAGATTTTTCGGGATATCTTCTTACGAAGTTTCGTTATAGCATCTATAATTTCCTCTAGCTTAGGCGAACAGCCTGGCAAATGACATCCATAGGAATTAACTTATCGACTCCACGAACAGTAAGAATCAATATTGAACATCCCTCTTATAATAGTACAGGCTCTCATAGCAATGACATATTTTGGTTCACTATGAAAATGGGAGAAATAAGTACAAGTCTCTCTTTTCTCTCACTCTCTCCTTGCTTCTCTTCTTACATGCACCATTCTCACTCTCAAATATATCAGAAATGTAAGAGAAAGCCACATATTAAACCACTAAGAGATGCAACCCTTGAGAAAAATGAGAAAGATAAATGTCCAATCCTCCTCAGAGCATTGCGGTGCCAATTTGGAGTGTTGCGGCGCTCAAGCCTTTGTTTGATGATGTTGTTGTGCCCAAACACACAGCGCTGCAGTGTCACATAGTACTGCAACGCCGAATCTAAAGCGCTAAGGCTCTCTGTTGATCACCGTTCGGTGCTTAGGAACATAGTGTCGGGGAGCTCGGGTGCACAGCATCGGAGAGTTATACAAAAAAAAGGAAAAGTTTGAGTGCAACCCGACTGCCAGCCATCTTCACTCACTGGCCTGACATCGATTCACCTGCATCGACCCGACTGACCTCGGACATAAGGAACCAAAGCCCCTCAGCCCATCGCCTGCTTGCCGCTTCTATATCCGACCGAACACCGTCTGATTTGACTCCCGTCGTTGTCCAGTCCGCCTCCGACCGTCCCGGCTCTCTCCCTCTCTCTATAATATATAAAAATTATTTTATTATATTATATATACTTTAAAAAAAAGAATAGATTTTCAAATAGGTGTGAATATTTGAAGGAAGTCTTGAGGTTGATTCGTTCTCCAGAAGCCCTCGGCCAAAGATTTGATCCGGCCGAGTGGATCGAAGACTTGAAGACTAATTTCAGTACCCGACAATGTCTTGAAGCCCTTAGCCGTTAACCACATTTTCGATTGGGCGGATTGAAGGAGAAAGTGCCCTCTCTAACCTCCTCTCGTTGGGTGTTGTGCTGGGAGGTTACCAAAATTCCCATGGGAAGCTATCGAATTTGAAAGGGCAAATTCCCTCCCCAACCTCCCCTCTCGGGGCTGCCAGATTTTCAAGAGGGATAAAAACTATTTTTTAGAATTTATTAAGTTACTCAATCAACAAGGATCGTTGAAGACCAATTCTGGGACACGACAACGTCCCGAAGCTCTCGGTCGTTGACTATCTTATGTCCTAAAGCCCACGACCGTTGACTATCTTTCCGGTTGGACGAATTGACAGGATAAGTGCCCTCCCCAACCTCCCCTTGTCGGAAGGCTACCAGATTTTTGAGGCGATGAAAACTATCTTTTAAAATTAAATTCAGTTACCAAATCAACAAGTTGCGCGCAATTAAAAGACTTAAAGACATTGACAAGGTCGATTCACTCCCCCAAACTCCTCGTCGTTGATTTGATCCGGTCGAGTCGAGCCAAAAGGGAAAGTGCCCTCCCTAACCTTCCCTTGATGGGAGGGGGCGCCATGTGACTGCCGAAATTGAAACTGATAAAAGAACCATCACTTTATTAAATAATAATAATAATAATAATATAAAATTGGAGATTAATTCTAAAGCTCATAAGGGATTTGAAGTCGATGTACATTTAAACTTATTCATCATCACACATTTAAAATATTATAATTCTCAAATAAATCAAGTCTTATATAATAAGTAATGACTTATGATTTTGAGATTCATGTTTGTTCAGCTAACCGTATCTCTCCTCAACTCCTTTAGGATTCATAGTCAGATTTAAATCCCCAAGTATTCTCAATTTGATTCATTAAAGGAAGGTAGGTGAACTTTAATATGTGCTAGGGTAAGTGAGGCAAGACATTATCATCAAGTATCATTATTCATCTTTTGAATAAATCCCTCCAATTAGAAGAGTCGTCAAGAAGAATTTGAATTCATATTTACTTATGTTGTGGGATATTAAGGATTTAGAAGCTATCTGATAGTGAAGTTTGGAGAATGATGATGTTAATAATTAATGAACAAATCTAATATTGACAAATTTAATGACAATGTATGACATTTCCTATACTCTTGAAAAGACATAGGTGATGTAGTTTCCCCTAAGTGAACGAGTTTGGCATTGTATGTTATATCCAATTTGAATCCTATTCTATTACCCGTAAATTGTTTGAAGACATATATATTGGATAGTATCATGTGATTGTGCAATTATCAAAGTTTTATTTCCAATAATAAATTCTACAATCATTAAATCCCTAGCTCTACAACTATATATAAATCAGGGAACCTTCAAATAAATTTTCATCTGAAGAAGATATTTCAAATCTTGCTACTATAATACATTGTGATTTCTTTGAAGGGAAAACCATAGATAATTGATGATGTTTGCTTGGGGATATGACGACATATAGGGTTAGTGAAATAGTGAATCGTATTCATCGGGTTACTTAGTGTTTCAATTCATTATATCAAGTAATCTCAATCTTATGGATATGCCACCATATCCACAACATTTATACAAGCAGACATATGACTATATTTTTATAATTACTCCAATCTATATGTTGAAAACATCCTACATGTGCTCCGACAAATGTGTTAAAGTTACAAACACAAATGTTTGAGAAAGCTATGCAGGGTCAAATGTTCACTAATATAACATTCTATTTTCAAACTGAATGCAACCCGCATGTGCTCCAATCATCACATATGATTCCTAAGCGCAACGGTCTGAGAATGTTGCACGGGTCAAATATTCAAGTCTCATCCTCCTCCATGAAAGGACCAGAGTTGACCTAACTTGAATCATAAAATGTCTCCTAAATTCATGCGAAAATACAAGTGACTTTAACGTCACCCTGATGATGGGTGTTGATAGGAAATCTCAACCGGAGATGTCAAATCTCAAAATCAATAAAAGATCAAATTCTTAAAATGAAATATATCACTTAAGAACTTAAAACTAAAACTCATCCATCTCCCACAACCATTTGTCGGGGGCAATAAATTAAAAATTAATCTCAACTCACAAAGAGAGAATATCGAATCGGATGTATCAAACAGTCTCTTGCCAGCATGGATGTGGCACGTGCCCTCTAATCAGGTGATTTTGCCGCAAAATGACACTATTATATTACGATCACGGCCAAAGCCCGTATGTTCCCTAACAGCTTCAAACCCTTGAGTAATGAATCATAGTGCATACTCTCTAGGTAGCATCTAATTTAAAACTCAATCTGCCTTCTAAAAAGTCACCCAGAACCTAAGCCCGCTAAAACTCTCCGCCGTCACAAACAAACACAAGAAAGTAGACGGCGTGGAGAGGCCGAGGAAAACGACGAATTTTCGGAGCCCACAATTCCTGATAATAACAATCACAAATACCCTCCACCCAACAAGCTTCCTATCACTAGCTAACCTCCCCTCCACCTATTTGCCTCATCCATGCCAAAACTATCTACATAGTTTCCTCCATAATATTTTCCAACATTCATCCACCAATATCACCAAATTCATCCTTTATTTGAGTTTCAAATTAAAATTTGATTTAAACTTTCAAATTAAAAGACTTGAATTCAATATTTGAATTCAAACTTTCAATCTGATCTCCATCCACTTCTTCCTCCACAAACTTTCCAAGCTTTTCCAAACTTAATTGTCTTAACCCAACATAATCAAGCCAACATAACTATGAGCACAATGAAAGAAAAAAAAATTTCAATCACTTCTACAAAATAAGAGAATCGAATTAGTCTATTGCTGTGCATGAAAACATCCAAGCCGTCAAAGTTATTTGTCCAGAGCTGATGATTATTCTCCAAAGAATTGATAATGAGGGTGTGTAATCAATATTGTTGCTGATGGTGATATTCTTCCCTTTGTATTTTATTTATCAAGATGAACTTTTCATTCATCTTCTTTTCTTTGGGATGAATTTCCTAGTCATTTATCCTCTTTGAAATAGATTTCACATGGAAGGGATTTCGCTAGCTCAACAACATAGTTAAGGGCTTCCAATTCTTCCTCCAATAGCATTTCCACTAAGTTAGGGTGAGAAGCCTATTTAAATAGATCATTCTTAGTCACATTAGTTTGTCATTTATAATGGATAAGAGTCTTTTGTATTATCTATTCATGTTTTGTATTATGGTAATGTCATTTATTCTCATTTAAAGTTTTGTTATATATAGGGGATAAAATGATAATTTGTCAAATTGTGCATGCTTTTTGCTATCACTTTGTTATTAGGATTAGATCTTGGGCATTATTATAGCTAGTAGCAAATTCTAAGTAACCTCCCTCCCAAATTAATCAAAATCTGAACTAATTTCAGATTTGGTTAGATCTCTCCCTCTCCCCTCATCTAAACCCAATTCCTCTTCCCCTAACCCGCCGCCCCTCACCCTTCTCCCACCTTTTGGCCGATCCTCTCTCCCATCCTCCTTGGGGTGAAGTGGATGCTCATAACTTTTGGGAATCAAGAGAAGACGAAGATACTCTTCAACTTCCACTTCAATGTTGAATGGCGGATCCAGAGTTTGAGTGGGGATTGGTCTTCAACGCCGACGGAAGTATCAACGTCCTACGGTCACCGTGCTTCGATGTAGGATTTGAAGACGAAACCACCGTGGAGGAGTACTTGGAGAGAGTCGTCCCGATCCTTGCAAGCATCTACGATCGTCAACTTTCAAAGCACACTTGGAGCCTCGAAGGCCACCTACATCATCCCTCCCCACCGGCCACTTTTCCTCCGACGAGGTTCTTCGGCGCCCTTTCTCTAGTGGTAACTTCCTTCATCGCTTGGATCTTCTATCTCCGCCAAAAGTCCACCAATCTTTGAGTGATACGGCCCCAAGGTGAAATTCTCGTTGTTAAACGTTGGGTTTTGTTACTTGTACTTCGCATTTAATTCCCTTGGATTTTGAATGAACTATTTTGGTTAATCTCAAGTGCATCTCTTTGGCCTAATCAAGTTAATATTTTCAAATTCCTAGTTCAAATTTTACGTGCTAGTTTTAAATTCATAAGGAGCAACACTTTAATCGTTTCTTTTTTTAAATTTCTAAATAACTCCTTGTAGTTTCACATCACTTTTTCTTTAAGATATTCATTCTTCTAATGCAATTAATCACCATCTTCTCTTTACCTCCCTATTCTTCGTCTATACTAAAATTTTCTTTTTCGAACAAATCAAAGTATAAAAGTCCCACCACAAGCTACACTTACGTTGACCAAATCTGCATGACTGGGGTGATGTGTCTAGTATACTGATGAATTTTGTCAAGGTAGCAAAGGAACCTCCCTAATACAAAAAACAAAAAACCCTTCTACTGAAAATAAAAGCTAAAGGATAGAAATGAAATAGCACGTGTTTACCAAAGCTAATATGGATGATGACATTTACATATATACCCTTCCCCAAAGCTTGCATCTTTTCAGGTTATATTTATAAAATAAGAATATGTCAAACATTAAGTATTGAAAACAAACATTTCCTATATATTTCATGGTTTTTTGGCCGCACTTCTAAAGAAATATAATTTCAACTGTAAAATATAATAACTTCTTGTCAAAAGCGTTAAATCTAAGGAATTACCCAGCAATAAATTTACATGAAAACTATAGCTAATACCACAATCGCATTCTACAAGTAATTCAGATATGAAAACATAACTTCAAGACTACACGTTTCCCAAAAAAAGAGTATAGGCAATTAACTCTGAGCTGGTGCTGGCTTCCTAAGTTAACAAGTGTTGAAAGGCTTATTTAAATAGAAATAGAAATTGTAACGTTGGCTGAAAACAGTGCAAGATAACAAGGCAACGTGGAGAATGGAGTAGGGTGCATAAAAGGAAATATGAATAATTTCACAATTTATTTTAGTATTGATCATAATTTTCTGTGTAAGATATTAAGAAATCCATAAAACAATCATTGCATGTCATGTTTCGTAGCTATGACTATCTAGAAGGGAGTAATGATAAGAAAAGTTCATTTAACCAAGCGGTATTTTTCTTTATCCTCTACTAAAAATGATGAGTTTGAATCCCTTCAAGAAAAAACAAGGGCCCTGTTCATGCCTATAAGAAGTGGGTTGGATGAGGCCCGCTGAAATTTGGATTTATATGTGGGAAAGCCCTTGAAACATACAGAAGAAATCCAAAGGAACAAAGATGAAGCGACTTCAATTTCAAATTAATATGCCAAAAAAAGAAGCAATGCTGTAGAATAAATCTCAACATTCCATACCTTGAATTGTGATGATTCTTCACTAGCATTCCCAAGAGATTCAGTAATGGTACTTGCACATTTCTCATCCTCACGTTTGGAGATTAATTTGATGTATGAACCTTCTGATTCAAATGTGTGAAAGCCTTTCTGGTACTTACAAGAGTTAAGGACTAGGTCATGGCAAGGAATACTGATCTCCGGGTTGACAGAATCATTTGTACTTATGGAAAGCAAACAATTCAAACCAGAACTATGGTTTTCAGATACTCTATCCTGTGAATTAAAGGGATGACTGTACGTTACCAAAGCTATCTGTGTAACTGTCCCAGGAAAAAGTAAAAGACCTTCCATATATCTTATCTCAAAAATATTACAAGCTTTTGTTTCTTCACTGATCTTTACAACATGTAGTAAATATGAAGCATCATTTCTTAGGGAGATGGAAAATACAGTTTTCCTTCCATGACATGGAACCAGAGTGTCAAAGTATAATGAAACAGAACCAGTCAAGTCAGTGTAACTCCCCCTCTCATTCATTTCTATGTCAATAGGAAGAATTATCGTCTCAGAAATTTCCTGTGAAGAATTACCTAAATTCAAGCAGATGGCTCCAGAAACTTCTCGGCCCAAATGAGGCCATAAATTCAGTTCTAATATAGATCTAGAACTATTTGGTGGCACCTCCCAGTGTTGATGAGGCCTAATATCTAGCCTTGATGATCCCAGTTCACCACTCTTTAGACTTAACCACTCACTGTCAGTATTAGATGCTGATTGAATGTCATGTTGCTGAAATCTATTTGTGCTACAGAGTACAAGTGCTGAGTTAGTTTTCTTTGAACCAGATATTGAAATCCATGTGGCTACTTCCTTGACATGCAGCACGTCATTATAAGGATTATAAAGTGACAATTTTCTGCTCAATCTTCTACCAGTAGAAATGTTTAATCCCACTAAAGGTTGCAATTGGTAAGGGGACATTGTGGCTACACCTTTAGCATGAATGACAAAACCCCCAAAGCTGGTTTGCAAAACTAGTTGAGCTGAAGACAAACCCAACCATTTAGGTAAGAAAATGAGAGGAATTGAGGCAGATTCACCTGGTGACAGTGAAAGTGTCTGGAAACTGTATGCGTTGAACTGCGTGTTAGTACTAAACAGATCGTAGACATTTAAAACGCTCTCATTATGCTTGTTGATCACTTCTAAAATTTCCAGTGAAGGAGAGTACATGTTCTTGGTCCCCCAATCCAAAATTGGAGGGCTTATCTCTATTTCAGGCAAGGATGCAGAACTTATAAGAATTCCTGACTCTGCCTCTTCTAAATGCTCATCCAGGTCACTGCTTGGCGCACTAGAAGCTTTCATCCAAAGATCAGGAAATAAGGAACCTTCACAGAAATCCACTCTATCCACAGTAACAGTCCTATTTCCAAAACCTTGTAGTAGAGGGATTCCATTTCCAGAATTCCTTAAAGAGCAAGAAACAACTTCTCCATTAGTCATCTTGAAAGTTGCACTTCTGGAAGTCTGACCAAAGCCCTTTGCAGCTTCAATGGAGGGCGCTCGCCAATCATCCTCTTCAGCAAGAAAACCAGCCAAAGTTGACAGAAAACAGAAGGAACTAGAGCAAGGACAAACATCCCCAGGCCCGTAATAATCCCCAAAACTTTGTCGACCATAAACTGAGCTAGCCAAATAAGATTGTCGAGTGACATGAACGTCGTCCAGGCACAAACGACTCTTCACCACAATCGGACAACAAAGCACAAAATATGCCACAATGAGGAACCAGCATGGCCTAGAGTGCCGCAGTAAACATCTCCTGGGGAAAAATTAATGTAGAATATTAAGTAAAGTAATCGTGTAACTGATCTTTCAACTTCAATAAAACGGTTTCCAAATAGGGAGAGAACCATTCAATAGCCGATATCTAGGGACCAACAAGAGCCAACAAAATCCTGTTTTGAAATCATTCCTACATATAACCCAACCCAAACCCACCTCTTCCTCTCACCAATCTTCCAAAAAAGGTAGGGAATATCCATGGATGATAAGGATCCTTCTTAAATCTTAACTATCAGCGAAATCCAATAGGATTTCATGATAGCTCCCATGGAAGAGAAGCAAAGGGAGATGCAAAGAGAACGAAGATAACAAATAAAGCAGTAGGTTTAAAAAAGTACCTCGAGGATCGCGAAGACGAGGAAGAGAACTGGGACACACCGTCTACGTTGATTACCTTCATTAGCGCCGGATAAGGAGCATCTGATCAACGGAGCGATAGATTCCGGCTCCACCCACCACCGCCGGAGAGGGCAGAGAGAGTGTAAGAGACAGTGAACCAAGAAAGGAGACCTTGGTTGTTGCAGGGCGAATAGGAATAGCTGAAAATGTATAAATTTTATTATGTTAAAATTACAAATATATCCCTCTTATTCAATGCAAAGATTTTTTTTTGGTATTTAGTTGAAATGACAGTCTTATCCCCGCAAAATTTTTAATAGATTTTTACGAGTAGAATGATGAATTATAGAAATAAATGGTTAAGAAGCCGAAAAGTTCTTCATGCGCTTTTTTTTTATTTTTTTTGCAAAAACAATACAATTTTGTTTTTTTTATTTACATGTATACAGAATGTAAAAATAAAAGTCAACTTTTTTTACACTGTTTTTTAATTTTTGACAAATTATATTTTGTTGCTTATATCTCTAAAAAAAAGTGACTTCTTGATGTCAATATCAACTATTGTAAAATAAAGAGGTTTGATGTGAAATTAAAAAAATTTTATAATAGAAGTTAAAGTTTAAAATTTAAAATTTAGTCAAAATATTTGACATTTTGGTATTTTTTCAATATTTTTATAGGTGTATTTCATTTTTAAAAAAATATTTTTAGATTTTGATTATGAAGTATTAGACCATCGACTTTTTAATTCGAGACGAATTTGGAATAGTTTCAATTATCTTCTTATTTTATTTTACCAGCATTTAATTTTCTCCCATCTATTAGGCTTTTGAATTTTGGATTTGATATTGTACTTATAAATATTTGTTAGAATAAACGAGAAAGAGCATTTTGGTATTTTGAAGAAGCTTCAACTAAGACATCGAGATCATTATGTAAAATTATTTATATTATTATAAATTTTTTAACATGTAACAATGATAATATTTACTAATTTGATAATTAAATAAATTTAGGCTTTGTATTTTTGGATAGTTTTTTTATTATTTTTTAAAGTAGTTTTTTAGTACAAAAATTTTTTGAACTATAAATTTTTATACTATAAAACTGTTTTAAAAAATTCGAAGAAAATTGTCAAAATAAAATCTTAATCACAATTATTATAAATTACGGATGATTAATGCACACAAACTCTCACCCTCTAACTCTATTGTGACTTAAAATATATCCTCATTAAATTTTGCATAAAATATTGATAGCTATAATTGGATGACCAAATAATCTCTAAATTTGGTATGCTTATGATTGAATCGAGCGGCTTGATGAGGAAAATCCAACAAGTATAAGATTGTTTGATTCTGACATCATCAAGGCAATTAAATGTTGAATGAATGCTTCATGATTAAGAGAATCAATATGAGTCATATGATGAGTGCTCTGAATTTTCTCTATATTTACGTAGCATGTCACTCTAAAAAATTTATAAATAGTCTCTCACTCACTACATGAAGATGACTCTTAGATAGAGATTTATGAGAGCTCCAATACTTGAAGAATCCTAGAGCTCCACATAAGCAACACCGCAAACAAACCCTTGTCAGCCAGCTGCTATTGCAATTTAGCCACCTGGCCAACACTGTCGGATCTTCACATGCCGACCATCATCGTCGGGCCTCTGCCTGAAGACCACCACGAAAAAGATCTGGTGTCTACTAAAATTCATACACCCTCTCTTAATTTATCTATATGTATATTAGATTACGTTAAAAATATGACATTAAATTCTTTATCTCGATCTCTACCGCCATGAATGTTACAGTACTCAACAGCCGTATATAAATAATTTATATATCTTTAATTTTAAAGGAAATTTAACTTTTTAAAACTCATTTTTATGTTATTTCAATGGAAATATTCTAATATAACTTTTATTCTTAAAAATGTCTAAATATAAGAAAGCATCAAACTTTCCGTAGGGAATGGGAATCCAATTGCAGATAAATTAAGAACGCAAAGCCGCAGTAAACGATCAAATTTATTATAACAGTATCATTATAAAAAACTTAAATAAATATATTTTTTAAATTTTGAAATACAAGGAATATAAGGAATACAATAACCATTTTTAAAATGTCAGGTAAAGTTATAACAATAAAATAATATAATCACTCTTATGTCATCAGAAAATTTATTTTGTTAAATAAAGATATTTTTATACTTTTTATACTTCGAAGCACTTAGACTTTCGAGGCAAAAACTTTCGGTCAAATATAAAAATAAATATTATTTTCAGAAGTCTGAACACTCAAATATTCATGATAAAAAAAATTTAAAATTGACATCAAAATAATTAAAATTTTATTTTTAATAAATTTATAATTGGAATGAGAGTTTTGAGGAGATGAACTCAATCTTATAAAAACTATTTTAATTCTATGAGGCAAATATGATAAATCGAAGATTAAGTTTCAAAAAATATAATTGATACGTCTTGATTGGGTACAAATCTTTTAAGTATTTTTTAATTTGAAATTATCAAAATTAAATCTAAGATCATTCAAACTCCGATCTCAGCAAACTTACAATCAAATTGAACATCTTGACAAAGTGATTCTAACGACACCAAAATTGGTATAATCGTAGCACAAACATGCTTAAATAAAAGGCTTAACGCATATTTGAAAGCTTTAAGGTATTAATTGGATGATCAAATGATATCCAAATATAGCATGCTTATAATTGAATCGAGCGGCTCAATGAACAAATCAAACGAGCCCAAGATCACTTTTTTTTTCCTATAAATTTTTTTTTTCACTAATAAAAAGGGGTTACAACAATTGGAGACAGGCAATCAGACAGAAAAAGCATGAAAAGAGAGATACAATCACATTAAAACAGAAAAATAAAACCCAAAGGAGGGCTCAGAAGAAGGCCGAGACTCCGAGCGTCCTCGAATCCGTGTAAGGACCATCGAGAAGGGTGAGAATCACCAACGGTTGCCATAAGGTAGCCAACGAGGACACGAGTCCCAGCCACATCATAGCCCCGCAACCTCAAAACCAAACGAAGCGCAATCCGAACAACCGCAAAAAATAAACAAAGTAGAAAAATAATTATCTTCTTCTACCACCTCGATTCCAAAATTTACCACGAGGAGCACCCCGAAGAGGTTGATCACGAACCATTTTAAACTCATTTCCAGTATCTGAATACGACTCAAAATCAGAATCTTCATCAGACGAATTGTGCAACCAATCACCATGTGACCTAACATCCACTCCAGAAGAACCACCCATCTGGTACATCATATTATGAGATGCCATTACATTAACTGGAACATTAATCAAATTTTGAGAGTTGACTAACATGCCATTCACATCCGAATTTACCACCTGACCACACACATTTGGCTCCTCATTCAGAACACTGATCTGTAGCCGATCAGAAACCTCCACAACACCCAAAATCGGCAAATCACCAGAAACCAAACCACCAGGCCCCCCACCACACTCATCAGGAATAGGCACAACATTAACAGGAGTAGAAACCAAAATTTCGCTAACTTCCGGCACCAGACCAACAGCCGGGATCTCCTGAATCACATCCGTAAGACCAATACCATCCACCACAGATAAAAGGAATAAAAGGAATAGCATTAAGAGACAACAGAGTATCAGAAGTATCTGAATTGCCAGCTTCTAACACACCATTATCCTCCCTAATCAAATCCAAATTCACATTAACAGACGCAATCAAATCCGGCTTCCCGCATTGGGAAACCATAACCTTAGGAACTTTAAGAGAAGGATGCAAGATAGAACATAAATCCTTAAGATGACCTAATGAATTACAGTGCGAACAAAAATGAGGAATATTATCGAAAATCACCGTCTTTACATAACCCGACTCTATCGAACCAACCCAAATCTTCTCTGCATGTTTCTTGGTAACATCCAATTCAACCAGAATACGATCCATAGACGGACGGGAACCGGAAGCAGTTGCCAAATCCTACTTAAGAGGATGACCAAAAATCGAACGTAAACCAGACAAAATTCTAGGAGAGAATAGATGAGGCCTAAGGAAGGGGAAAGAAACCCAGATAGGCACAAAAGGTGAATCCACCTCAATATCCAAGTTTGGAGATCATTTAACAACTTTCATATAACAATTTTGAACAAAATAAGATTTATGTGAGAAAATCAGGCAATAATCAAAATCATTCACCAATTTAATCAAAATATTCCGGTGATTGAGAACAGTAACCGAAAAATCCCCTAATAATTTTAAATTGAAGCAAAACTTCCGAATAACATCAATCGAAGGCCGCCTGCCCGGAAAACGGCCAACCAAAGCAAATTCGAAGGGTGCGGCAAGCGACCGCACATCTTCCTCAGAAATTAACAACGCCGGAAAGCCACGATGCAAAGAAACCTTAAGCTCAGGGAAGGAAGATGATGTACTAGATAACGCCGCTTTAAACGAAAGAGGCGCAGAAGCCCCACTTAAGAAACCAGGATCTCGAAGGCGAACAGACTCCATAAGAGAGAAATGCCAAACGGAAAGAAAAAAAACCCTCAAATCTCGTCGAAGAAGAAAGGGCGGCGGAACCCTAGCAGAGCGAAACGAGCCCAAGATCACTTAATTCTTACATCATTCAGGCATTTAAATGCTAAATGAATGTTTTATGATCAAGGAAATAAAAATGAATCGTCTGATAGAGCACTCTGAATTTATCCTTGATCTTTTTCATATTTACGAAGCATGTCACTGTCAAAATCTATAAATAGACCCCCACTCTCTACATGAAAGAAACTTTTGGAGACTTGAACCCGAGAAATTATTATGTGCGGATACTAAACTATCATGAGGCGAATCATAACGCGTCACGTCACTCGATACACAACTACAATATACAACAAAAAAGTGACGTTGTGCGTCCTGATTCGCGTCCGAACGACGCCCATATCCACACATAATAATTTCACACTTGGACCATGGGTAGAGACTCAAGAGAACTTTGAGGCTTGAAGAGTCTTGGAGCTTCACACAAACACCACCACCCCCTCATTTTCTAACCACCACTTTTGGACTTTCGCCAGACCATCGCCATAGGTCCTTAGCCTGATCACCAATGTCGGGTATTCGCGCAACCACTATCACCCACCAACTTAGTTTATCCTACCT